CAGCCCTATCCAGTGCCCAGCCACTCTTTTTCCTCATGTCCAGCCCTATCCAGTGCCCAGCCACTCTTTTTCCTCATGTCCAGCACTTTCCAATGCCCAACTATGGAGGGAGCAGAAAACACAGAAGAAAGTTTCCCTGCATCCTCAGAACAAGCTCCTTGGAAAACCAGAGCTTAGAGATAAGAAATGGATTGTGAAATGACGAATACAAAAGGAATTTAGCTTCCCCCCCTTGGACGACCCTCTTATCTATTTTCAATATTAGTGGTTCGTTTTCTTTTAGTATCCATAGGCCAGCTTTGAATGTAAAATCCCTCAGGGATTGGTCAGAAAGTAGAATTCCCTTGGTAATTGGTGCAAATTATAAAACCCTCAAAAGAGATAAAAACCCCTGTAAAACAATAGCCGTGGGTATATGTAGATAGGATGCTTTCATAGAATAAACCATGGATTTGTGCCTTTCTGCATATCCTGGTCTCTCTACCCCGCTGGTCTGAGAGCTCACCGTGAGTCACAATTCCATCTGGGCAAGGCTCGGGAATTTGCTCCGTCACTGAGGGCTGCAGGAGCAGCCTCAGGGATCCCAGAGGGACCCCGAAAACCCCAACCAGTGACATCCAACCACTCTTTTTCCTCGTGTCCAGCCTAAACCTCCCCGTGTGCAGCTTCGGGCTTTAATCCCCTTCAGTGCTGTCGCTGTTCCCCGGGTGCAGAGCCACCCCTGCCAGGCTGCACCCTCCTGTCAGGGAGCTGTGGCTGATCTGAACTGATCATTGCAGGAGCTTCAGAGGCATCACCAACGAGGACTCCATCATGAGAGAGATCAACCTGCTGGCGGCCATCCTGGAGAGCCCCGAGCTGTGCCTGCGGGACACCTTCATCATCGCCGGCTACACCAACCCCGCGGCCGCCAACCGCCACAACGAGATCTGGTTCCTGCAGCGACCCTGAGCTGCTCACCGAGCCTCCTCCCTGCCACAGGTGAGCCCAGGCCAGCCCAGGTGTCCTCCCCTCACGGGGCAGCCACGGGGCTCTCAGCTGGGCTAGGAACAGCCAGCCCGGCTCAGCCCCCCCCTCCCAACCCGCACATCCCTACGGCAACTCTGACAAATTTCATGGAGGTTTTAGCACTTTAAATGTTAGTTCACCTTATTTAGTTTTTTGGATCAGGTAAAGGAGGCAGAGCTCTCTTCCCCTCACGCATTTATTGGCACCCCCAGCCCGCCCGTGGCTCGGGATAGTCCCTGGGGACATCCTGGAGCCCTGGTGCTGCACAAAGACCCCGCTGGGGCTTGCAGTGTGACACCACACCCACCTCACACAGGCACAGAAAGAATGTCCAGGTCTCAGCTCCTGAGGAGAACGATCAGATTTACCCAACTGGGATTAGAGCACGGAGTAAGAGCTGGCCAATGCTGAGAGCTGGGGCACAGAGATCCCCAGTGTTTACCTCAGAAAGCTCCCAACCAAAGCACCCCGAGTCTGGAGAGACACCAAAAAAAGGCACCACAGTCCTACTGCTCATCCCAGTGCTGACAGCAAAATTACAGGTTCCCCTCATCACACTCCCCCAGGAATGCCATGGCTGCCTCTGGCATTCCTAAGGAGACACTGGTTATTTTGAACTGCAGATTTCTGATTTATTCTCCCAGCTCTGCTGGGTGTTAAAACACTGCAGCTGGAGTAAATAGTTCAGCACTCCTGGCACTGCCCTGGCAGTCCCACACTGGTAATGGCATCAGTGCCACCAATATCCAGGGAGAGCAGCTCAGCTGGGAGAGCAGGGCCAGGCAGAGCAGGGATGGGGAGCCAGAGCCCCTCTGAGCCCTGCCCCAGCACCTGACCACCCTCACTGTGAGTTTTTCCTTCCTAGTATCAATTTGTTGTTTGTTTTGCCCTTCACCCCTGTGATAACCCCTCAGCTGCCAGCCTGGCTCGCTGCAGAGGCTGAGCCCCCACATTCCAGAGCCCCCCAGAAGGTCTGGGAGCAGCATTCCCACTGCTCCACACGGCCCAAGAGCACCTACTGCACTTTAGAGTCAGGGCAGCAAACGATTTTGCTCTCCAAAATCCCTCCCTAATGTGTCTCCTTACTGACAAGATGGTAGAGTTTATCCTTAATAGAAGTAAATGTCTTTTTATATAAAATCCACTGAGTGAATCACCAGCATTGGTTACAGGATTTAGGGTTCCAAGAGAGCTGCTGTGCTCTTTAATTCCAACACACTGACCAGCAAGCAGAGCCAGTGGCTGCTAACTCACAGCAGGGTGAAACAACAGCTCCAAAAATGGATTTGTGGAGGACTTCTGAAAAAATCTGAAACAACCTCTCTCTGTGCTCAACCCAAAACCTCTCCCTGAGCAGCAGGATCAGAGTGGCCCTGGCTGAAGAAGGACCAAGGTGCCCTCTGGTGCCTGCTGGGCACGGAGATTCCTTGGGAAGCAGCAAGGAGAGGGGGAAAAGGAAACAGAAAATAAAAGACAGACACAAAAGCCTTAGTTTTGACAAAAACAAACGAAGAGTCTTTATGGAGAGGGGGAAAATTCCTAAACCAACTGAAATGGAATGCAGTGTCACAGCCTGAGAGAAGGAAAATTAAAAATGCCAGCCAGTATTAAACTAAATGCTCTTAAATAAAGAAAAATGGTAAAAATATTTTTAAAACTGAGTTGAATAGAAGGCCCAGGGGGGCATTAAATAAAAGGTTTTGTTATCATATCCTCCCCCAGATTTTTATAAGAGCCAATAAAAGCAATTTTCACCTTTGACAAGATTTGATGGCAAATTAAAGAAGCTTCTGCCATCTGATTGCTTTTGCCAGTTAGAGGAATCCTCGTGATGCTTTGGCACAACAGATGTTGGCTAGCTCCTGGAAGCAGTGAAATCCTCTCACCACACAGCACCAGTTTGTACATAATTGACATTTTCAACCTCTCCTGCAAAAGCTTCTGCTGTGTCTGATGTCCCTGTCCATAGGCAGCCCCTCCTGTGGCTGATGTTCTAGAAACATCCCTGAACCACAAGCAGATCTGAGTGTGCTGAGATCCCACCTGCAGCCCAGCATTCCCTGCTGCTTTTGGCAAACTAGGATTTCCAAGATAGTATTTATTTATTTTGACTTCTGTTAGATGGCTTCTGCTGCTGAGAAAAAAAAAAAAAAAAGCCAAAAAAAAAAGCACAAAAGAGAAAAAACACAAAAAAAATCCCAAACTCCAGCTCCAGTTTGGAGATACACTTCATGGCTTGGTACCAACAGCTGTCACTGGCCCTCATGAGCACAGGGAGCAAAAGCTCCAGTGTTTAGGTGACACAAACCACAGTTTATTGAGTTGTTACACCACTGACAACACCATGTCAGCCATGATTGCCTAGAACAGGTATTCTGTTATCCATCCGTGGCTCTGCTTTGGGAGCCACTCATGGATTTTCAGTTTTAATGTGAAGTTATCAGCTTTCCATTCATGAAAGGAGATAATAAATCAGCATTCACCCCTATTTTTGGAAGATTAAATGATGTAGCCTTAACAGATAAGTGTTTTCCTGCATACTGTGTATTTTCCAAACCAGAGTTAGTGCCTAAAACGTTGATTCCAGCTATTGTGATACTCAGGGCCTTGCTTATTGTATGTAAAGGTGTCCCCAGAGTTGCTCTGGCATTGTTGTGCTGTGCTGTCTGACACTGTCCTTCTTCACACTGAAATGTTGTCTTGTTTACTGTTTGTCACAATTAAAGAGAATGGTTTTATTGTGCACAGGACACTGGGCTCTCGTTCTTGCAGCACACACAGGTGCTTCTGCTCACCTGCCTGGCGATTTTACAAAAGCCATTTAAGCCTCAGATTGGAAATGGTCACCTCAAGGCCCAGGAGCTGAGGTGCAGGAATCACTTCCCCAAGTGCTGAAGCCCCCAGAACTGAGGTTTGGCCTCAGCACAGGCTCCAAACCATCCCTGCAGCCCTGGGGTCACTGCAAGTTGTGCTCTCCAGTAAAGCAGCAGCAATTAAAATGCAAATGTAGAGCAGAGGAAGGAAACAGGAAATACTGCAGCCAAACTGCTCATTGCAGCTTAAACCAAGCTGAAACATCCCAAAATAACCCCCTGCACTCAGCAGAGCTTTCAGAGGCACCTCCAGTGATGCAAAACTACTTCAAAGTTTCTCTTTATCACTGGGAGTTCCTCGTTTCAACACTCTCAGGTCACTGAAAGCAGCTGATGCACTCACAAGTCTGCCTTCCAGTGCTCTTCACACCAAAACCAACCAGCTTTAACCAAAACTATGCTCTGAGGCCAACACTCTGATATATAACTTAATCCTAACTTTTTATGCAACTAAAGAAAAAAAAGAGCAGATATTTTCAACTTTTCAGAGTGGTATTTTTTGTAACATCATTTGCCTACAAGTGTCTTAGATCACTAAGTTACAGCTGACTGACAAACAGCTCTGGCCCCCCAAAATCTCTATTTGGGCATTAAAGATTGGTAAAAAGAAGAAGATATCATCATCATAGAAATAGGCCAATAAATAAATAAATAGGGTAAATAAACAAATCAAATTTAAAAACCTCCAGGAGAACTAGTTACACTCTCAGATGACTTCAAGCTCTAAAGAATATTCTTAATCAGAGAAAATGTTTCAGTCCACACACAGATTCCTTCAAGCTTTCTCAACATCTTTATATTACTAAATTCAGCCAAATGCAGAAACCTCAGTTTAGGTTCTGGTGTAAATTCTGCAAAAACTCCTGAAAGAGGGTGAGGAAAATTCAATTGCAAGTTTTCCATCTGAACTTTCCAAGTCACTGCAAGGTAAAAAGTGCCATTGGTGCAAAGTGAAACTGCAGCTGCTGGATTTGAAACCACGTTGCTTAATTATAGGGTTATAATCCAAGTTAATTACATAGGAAAGCGTTGCCTTTGTAAACACTGCAAGTCTAGACAGAGATGATAAAACATTTAATGTCCCTGTCCACTGACCAAAAAGGAAATGCAGCCACTCACCTTGATGTAAGTGTTCTGAATTTCTACCAGTTCTTCCCCAAGTGGAACTACAATTTTTTCCACTTGTCTCTCGTGAGAATAAGGCTGGATTTCTGGAGAATCTTCAGCACACATCTCGATCTGAGCAATCAGCAAGTTGGAGATAACTTGTTGCACAGCCTGGGAGAGAAGCCACAAAAACAAAGTAACTATTTACATATTTCAGCAGGGGTTAGACAAAATTGCAGGAAAAAGGCACCCACTACCTGTGATGAAAAACGAAAGGAAGGTCAGGAAATAGAATTCCAGACTGGCTGGGGTTGGGAAGGGACCTCAAATCCCCCCCAGAGCCACCCCTGCCATGGCAGGGACACCTCCCACTGTCCCAATGTCCAACCTGGCCTTGGGCA